TTCTAAAATTATTCTTGTTACTTAACAATCACCTTCAGAAATATAAGGGATTTATACTCTACTCGTATATCAACAACCGTTACATCGCTCCTCATCCTTCGAGAAGTAAACATCAACAAGGCATGATCCTTCTTCCTCAAGACGCTCCAACTTGATTAACAAACAAAATCTTGAATCCATGTCATCTTCGTATTCAGGAAATAACAAGACTTCAACAATACCCGCATTGTCACCACAAACAAAATACTGAACTAACATCTTATAACCGAAATATTTCCGAGAAGCAAAGCTTCTCCCCCACTTATCTTCAACCCAAATCCTGCATACAACTAGATTAGAAAAGAAAAAAACAACAACCACCGACAATATTTCACACACTTGTCACGCACTAAAGAACAAACAACATTAGACAACTTGGTCGAACGGACCGACATGCTCTGATACCACTAATGTAACACCCCAATTTTATCCAGCGGATAATAATTAAATCAGAGTTCAACATAAATAGGATGCTACATTTTCAACAACTTAAAATCAAACTTCATTTAATCACATATAAAACAGATACATAAAACTTATCTCGGATGAACCGATAACAACTTGATTTATTCTTTAACATCAAACAACTTTATATTGATAAGCAGTAGGATTTACATACTCAACTTCAATTCACTTAACATCTTTTATTCAACTAAAACAACCTCAAGACAACAATTATTTCATGTAATCAACTTAAAAATTCAACAACTAAAATAAATATCAACAACTAAACATCAAGTGTTCATCCTCCCGAGTGCTAGGTATCAGAGCGACAATACTGACTCGAACTGACGAGGTAACAACTATCCTTCTTGATTACCTGCATGTTACCAACAGAGGACAATATTCAAACAGAAGGGGTGAGATATCAAACTATATAATAAGTCGTATGATAATGATATATTAGATCATATCATATAAAATCACAACTTTACAACTTACAAACAACTTTAATCACAATGAAACATCAACACGACATAACTACCAAATTCACAACTTTTAAATAATACTTGTCACAACAAGTCAACAACATAAAGCAACAACGAATCTATCTTCACCACAACTCAAGATGCAACATCAAATGCGACTCAATTATAATGCACATGCATGTGGTACCAATAAGGCTTCAGCCCCCATCGCCAATTGCCAATTATTAGAGGTATTCAAACAAGGCATCAGCCTTCATCGCTATTTTGCCAATCCAGGCCATCACAGAGTATGCAAATGTATGTGACTCAATGAATGCACCATCACATACTCACAACAATCATCATTCATCGCAAGGCATAAGCCCACATCATCGTTATTACCAGTAAATAGAGGTAATTCATCATCATCTAAAATTCTCTGCAACTTCGCGTTATCAACAAAAATTCACAGCAACAATCATAACAACACAACAACGACAATACAACAACGAATCAATAACAATAATTAAACAACAACTTAACAATAATTCAACAACAGGTCACCAACCATTCAACATTGGCCATAGGCCTACAACATAATATGAGACAATTCAACCAAATTCATCATCACCTGCAATTTCATAATTAACCACAACAATTATTCCGTATAATTATTCGGACAAATCGACCAAATCCTGCAAATTAATTACTGGCTAATCGTCCCATTATCTATACTTTATGCTAATATTCAGTATTAGTTTTCTGACAACTTATACAACACTGCTAAATTAATTATTACCGACTCTGCAACTAAAACCATCGCTGTTATTTCATCATTCTGCCCATAATCCAATCCTCTGTTAATTTCATTACTCTGCTATATATACTACTCTACAATTGTTCACTTAATCTCTGCTAATGTTTACTGATCCTGTTACTGAAACTCTGCTACTCCTGTTACTATTCTAGTGATTCTAGTCGTATAATTACTATTAATGTCCCTACCATTATTACTTGTTTTCAAACTCTACTATATAACAATTTTGCAATTACTTACCAAGGCAACAGACACAGGGAGGACACAGGAAAAACAGACAAAACAATTAAAAGGAAATAGAGATTCCAGGGCGTGCCCCTCGTCACCATAGGGTGCCCCTAGGCACCTTCTTCTCCTTAACATGCCGGTCGGCATGCCTATCTTCACCAAAATATATATCATGGTGCCGATCGGCACCCATCTCTCAACAACCATGCCGAACAGCATGTATCCAGTGCCACTGGCACACATACTACACCAGAATTTTTGAATCTTCTTCGATTAACAATATCTTTACAACACCATCATGCAACAGTAACATATAAAATTTAACCATAATTACGTCGATAGGTAAATTCCCACAATACAATTAGTTATCAACAATTTTGCAAACACATACAACATCCATTCAAGAATACAAAAACATAATTATACGCACAACAATTGCACAACCCAAACATACAACGATAATTTTCCATGGAATCAACCATACGATAATTTCATACAACCAATCCCCACATACTATCCATCATATATCCAATTATAGAGTCAGAACCTCACCCTTACATTAGATTGACAATTTCTCTATAATTTCTGGTCGAATTCCGATTTGGCTTCCCGGTTGACGGTTTTTCTCCCGACGACAATTTCCTCCAAACCCTTGTTCTCCTTGCCACTTCTCACGTACCGTAACTACGAGGCTTGTTAAACTAACCTAATTACTTATTATTACTATTATTATTAGGCCTAACTTTCACACCCCCACCTTTACTACATACAACAAAATAATTAAGCCCAACAATAAATCTAGTATTATTCCAATACTATTTCTACAACTTAATCAACCAAATAATCAGCTAACAACAATCTCAACAATATTCTCAAACATTAATCTATAATTAATTTAATTAAATAATTAATTAAATTAACGGGCGTTACACTGGGCCCATTCCAGCCAGTCAAAGATCATTCTTTAGCCTGTTTGTAGGTTCTGATCAACGAGTAAAATTATTTTCTATTAGAATGTGGAATTTTCAATATTTATAATGTTATTTACAAACTTTTGAACTCCTTAAATAGTTGAATAAACCTATTACAAAAGTTGTTCTCTTTTTCAATTCACAAGTATCGTTGAAATGGTTTAAATTTGAAAAAACATGTTATCAGATATGTTGAAACTTCCTGCTTAGTTTGAAAGAAATTACTAAGAAGTAACTTATACATATTTGCCAATAGTTTGTGAATGGGTCAATATTTGAAAGCAGTTACCATCTTTGATTTCCTAAAATATCAAATGTCTTATTATTTTGCAAACATTTAGTTAATGCCTCCACATTTCAGAACTTTTTTTTTGCATACATAAGCTTTGAAAGCCTTAAAGTTTGCCATCATTTATTAAGAAGTATCTTCAATATCTCATAATATATAAATATTGCACGAACATACAATGATTAATGAGATACTCAAAAAGAGTTTTTCAAAAAATGAATCACATTGCATTCTACACATGTAGATAATCCTTAAAATTGAATTGACATTAACTAAACATGTTATCCATTTAAATGGATAATTCATTACAGTGACCAAAATAGGAACTAATATTGTTTGGATTCAAAACCTTACACAAATATGATAGAAAGATAGGTGGAAATAACATAACCCGTACATAAAATACTTGTTCAAAATTAAAATAAAACACAATGATATAAAAGCTTCAAACCAATGCATCCCCTATCTTTATTTAGATTTTGTGTGTCTTGCACTCTTGGTCCTTGCTCCCTTTGTGGTAGAAAGTTTTGGTGACGATAAATCAATGTTGCCTGATTCATGACTTGATTCATCAACCAAAAATTACTTAGAAGGAGTATTGTTACAGTTAGGTTCGGGGCTCCAGTTCTGGGCAGCAGAAGGTGTGCACTGAATGAGTGAAGCAGTATACTGTTAGGAGAATGTATAGTTGTAATCCATTGTATAAATAGGAATGTAGAAAGACTTACATTTGGAACTAAACTTTGAGCAATTGTGTTATAGATGATGAGCAATTGTGTTATAGATGATTGGTTAGTCTTGTTACATGTTGGGCAAAGTTCATAATAAAACCCGAAGCGATTTGCCTTGAACCGCTTAGTTGTGCCAACAATATTAACAAAAGTTCCCTACGAAAGCAAAAAGTATGATTTGTTATGGAGTCCAACATACAAGTAAGCAAAGCAAGCATATGTTATCAGCAAAATCATTAACTGTATAATAAAATTGAATTATTTAACTGGTAAGGAATATGTAACTCACCTCAGACAAACAAATCATATCTCCAATTGTTTTCACATCCTTAACAAATGAGAAAGACCTATCATCAAACTGACCTTGTGAACATGAATTAAGCGACCGTGTTTGTGAAGCCATTGGAGTTGGGTTTCCATCTACAAATCAGTGAGTTAAGACAATAAGAAACAACCATCAGGATGTATGGAAGGCTATTTTGTGTATTGTATATTAAGCCTTAACGATAAAATGTTGTGAGTCGTGTACTTGGACTTGAAATCAACAACTTGTGAATGAGTTGAAGGTGAAGAAGTTGTTTATGAGACGAGAGAAAGAGACTGGAAAATCCGATGAAGGAGAGAGAAAAAGAAGTGTAGGAATGAGAGCAGAAGAAAAAAGAATGGGTTTAACCAAAACAATTGCTTTACCTGAGTTAAGAAGAATACCCAGCAAATTTGAAAAAATTGAGTGTCACTTGGATGAAAGAATTAATCTAATTGGATTGTACAATAATTTAATCAATTACCAAAATGGATATTTTGTAGAGTAAATTAGATTTTGGCTAAATGATAGATTAAGAAGTGCTTAATCATCTTCCAATCTTAGTTAGATAGTAAATTAGATTTTGGCTAAAAGATACATATCGATTTTATAGAAAAAAAAAATAAAAATTGGATAATTGATATGTAAGAAAAACAAGACTTTCAATCTAGTCGTTTCAAAGCTTCAAGTGCAATATTTTCAGAATATCTGTAATGGCAAAAGCAATATCTCTAACACACCACCTCTCCTTCCTCCTACCTCACACCCCTTCCCGATTCATAACCTCTTCTACATTCTTCCATCCACTCCGCTTCCTCTCATCAACACCAACCCCATACCCACTCCAATACGAACTTATCATAAACCGCCCCGACCTCCCCCAACCTAACCCCCACCGTCGAACCGCTAACCCCCCCACCTCACCCGAGCCAAACCAACCCGAGCCGTCTCTCCATGACTGGGCCGACGATAAACTCTCCACCGAACCCGGTTCGTCTGAACTCGATAAAGCCAAGAGGAAATACTACAACAGACGGAGGAAGAGAATGTACGGGTCCGATTCCGATGACGATCATCGGAGAAATGAGCATCAGTTTGTGGAGATGAAACCTGAAGTGGTGGAACTGAGAACTCTGCATAAGAGAGAAGAGGAATTGTATTTTTACGATGCTTTTGCATATCCGTGGGAGAAAGATAAACATTACAAAATGGTTTATCAATTGGAGAAAAAGTTTTTCCCTAATCAGTGTTTGGATAAAGCTTTTCTTCAACCTGGTCAATCCAATTCAAATTTGAATGCGAATGCCAATGCTAGGGTTAGAAACATGAAAGTTGGTGTTTTTGGTGGGGACAATGAGAATGAAGGTGAAAAGGTTGGTGATGATGATAACAAGTTGGTGTTTTTTGATGAGAATGTGAAAGGGGAAGACAGAGAAAATCGTAACAAGGTTGAGAATACAGATCATAGTGAGAAGAAGGTTGAGGAGTTTTTTAAGGGTTTGAAGAAAGATGTTCACGTTGTGGAGCCGTTTTTGTCTTCCAGGAGGACTGGTCTTCCTCCTGTTTGGGATTCTCCGCATGGGACAGTGCTTTTGATTAACAAACCAAAAGGTGAGTGAGTGCGTGAGTTGTAAGGCGGAATTGGATTAACTGATGTTGTTGAATAGCAGATATAGCGTAGGTGAATTTAAATAAATTGGTTTTGTTCTGTGATACACTGTTTAGTATTTACTGCGAGCATTGTTTAACCATGGCTATAGCGTTGCAGAATTTGAACATATTGTCGTTGTTGCTCAATAGGCTATTTAGTACAAAGCAATATTTAGTAGTGGCTATAGCGTAATAGAATATAAACAAATTGCTATTGTTATGCAATGCACTGTTTAGTACAAATCATTGTTTAATAGTAGCTATAGTGGTGATAATGGGCTGGCATTGTAGTGTAGGAGAATTCAAACCAGCAACTATTTTCTGCAATATGCAATTGATAACAATGCTATTGCACTTTGGCAGACTTGACCGTTTGGACAGTTCATGTTCCAATTTTATGTTTTGGACTCATTTGCAGAGTTGGAATATAAGCCGTCTGAAGGCTGAGATTGCGGGGTTATCCTGATGGTTGGAATTCTCGTTTGTTTCATTTTGCTTTCTAGTTGATTTACTTTTGGGGAATTACAAGAGCTAGTGGTTATTTTCTGCACTTGAAATAGTTAAATTTAATGCGTATGCTAGTTGTAGAAAATAACTATCGTTATTCACGAGTACGATATTCATGCTGACTGAATTGGCACGACATTAAATGAATATGACATTATTGCCATATGCACATACTGCAGCACCGAGTAATGGTTCGTGTTGTATAGGCTTCATTGTTATTAAGTATGGTTATTTTGAAATACTTGAAAGTGTTTATTTTGGGATGTGTCGATGAAAGTGCAAATAATATGTGAATTTGTGGCAGGTTGGACTTCATTCACTGTTTGTGGAAAGCTACGTCGCCTTGTTAAAGTGAAAAAGGTTTTTTCTTTCCCACAATAGACATGTATTTAAGTTCACTTTTTTCGTAGACTTACAGTATTAATTATTTACAGGTTGGCCATGCTGGAACTCTTGATCCAATGGCAACTGGTTTATTGATTGTTTGTGTTGGCAAATCAACAAAACTGGTGGATAGGTGATTAAGTTAAATAGAGTTTTGTTTTCATAATAGTACAGTTTTTCACAATAATACAGTTTTTGTTTTAGTCAAAATGTTTTTCGGAGCGTGTTTCAGTGTTGTCGATGGTGGAAAAACCCGCAATAGCGGTCGATATTTGCCATTGCAGCGAGCCCAAAAATTGCCATTTATATCCACCATAGTGGCCATGGCGGGGCAATTTGATAACACTGGCGTGTTTCATAATAATACAGTTTTTGTTTTAGTCAAAATGTTTGATAAGGATGAATTTTTCTGAATCATTGTTTTTTTTTCTGCTTCAGATACCAAGGGATGATTAAGGGTTATAGTGGGGTTTTCCGCTTAGGGGAGGCTACTTCAACATGGGATGCTGATTCACCAGTGAGTTAATCTGTTTTACCTATGTGCAAGTTTATGAAGCTTTAAATAAAAGAGTTAATCAATTGAAAAAATTTAAAATGGAAAGTACTTTTTTGCCCATCAAATTGATTACAAATTCGCATATAAGTGATCCTGAGAATCAATTCATCCTCAGTTCTCAACCTTTTAGGAAAAAATTGGGAATACAAACATGTCCATCAAAATCCTATAATTGTTATCCAGGTGTTGAATACTATCAAATTTAGAGGCTGCATGCTATTCCCCATGAAGCACAGGCACATATACAAAGACAGGATACGGCACTGACACACCCACACCAGTAATAGTTTGAGAAAGTGAAATATTTGAACTAACTACTTTTGTCAGAAGTTAAGTTTAGTTGCATGGTTGGGAGGAAAATGCTATTTCCTTTTATAAAGTGAAGTTTTTTCAAAGATCATTTATCAATGCATTAAAGAAACATTCAATAATGAAATCTTGAAAAATCACTCAACCATATTACCTCCTAGAACCGCTCAGTTCAAAAGCGTTAGCTATGCGGCTATGCCTATCAGGTGAGGGATAAATTAATGATTTTTAGATTCTCTAGAGTTTTTAACTAAAAAGTCTGTTCTTGTAAGAATGGAGATAGTTTTTAACAAATATCAAACTCTAGAATCTTTGTATTAAGGAGGCTGTCAGACATTTAAATAAATGTTTGATCAAAGTAACGTCTATATCTATGTCTGAAACCACAACTTTGAACAGACATACTACTGTATTCTGTAATCTATTTGGTGCTTGAACCTTGAATGTAATGAAAATGGTGTAATAAGAGCAGTTTAAGTCATCATACGCAAGTATTATTTGAATGAAGAATATCAATATCAAGGCTTGGGTTAATGCATCCAAATCACTGTAATGTGACTCATGATAGCCATAACTAGGAATTACAATTGATATGGCAATTTATGTTTTGATTTTAAGTTTTTAACTACATACAATTTTTTCACTCATAGGCCAGCTTAATATGTAGGTCATTCAGCGTGAGCCATGGGAACAAATCAAAGATGAGGACATAAAGAAAAGTGCCTTGTCCTTTTGTGGGGAGATTTGGCAAGTTCCTCCTATGTTCTCTGCTATTAAAGTAAGGACAATTACCATTCTTGGACCACTTACTTTTCATAATTTATTTAAATTTTTGAAGTTGAATGAGGCCTGAACTAATTTAAATTTAAGTTATTAAATATGTCATATCAACAATGGGTTTTCAACTTAGACAAGCTTTTATTTTACGCATTGATATGATCAGCATTTCGTTTCATATCTAAAGCAGTTCAGCATTGTCAAATTGTAACATGACTTTTGTTTGTCATTTATAAAGGCTGGGTTTATGATGGAAGCAATTTCGTGTTAGATCCATATAGTTAACCTCATCCACTGCAAAAAAATACTTCTTGTTGATGTACCTTGTCTGCAAAAAATCCATATAGTTACAAGTATGACTGCTTTGTGATAGGTTGGAGGTGAAAAGATGTATGATAAAGCAAGGAGAGGAGAAAGCATTGAACTTTCACCTAGACGAATTTCAATTTTCCAATTTGACATAGAGCGTAGCTTGGATGACAGGTAACTCGGGAGCCTCCATTTTTTATTCCCTTTTTGCTTTTGAATAATGATTTAGGTTGACAACTAATAAAAGTTGAAATCAACACTGGTAAAGATCTACATCAATACACCTAATTGACCATCAAGCCATTTGCTAGTCATAATCTATTTAATCCATAAAATAGAACCAAAATTATCTTGAGCATTCAAGAAATCCAATTTGAGCACAAATCTTTAGGATTTGACTCCTCCAAGGTAAGTTATTCACTTTAGAGAGTAAAATAAATAATCTCAATTCAACTATTGATTAGAAAATCAGCGGTTGATATTTTAACACATTCATGATTTGCTATACATGTCCATTACATAAACTGTTGATGACTTGATTCATTCATCAACAATTGGAACTACTTTACTCTCTAAAGTGAAAATTAAATTGAGTTAAATCCAAATCTTCGACCCTTTGCTCTTTTCTTCTCCTAAATAAGTTAATTGTTCAGAAAATAATGGTACTTTCTATCTAATTTCTCTGGAGATATCAATTCAATTGTATTTTCTAGTCTATACTTGCATTGGATCTAGCATAGAACTCGGTTCTTGCAATCAAGAAGAAACTAAGTTTGATTTCTATGAGATATCAGCCTAACAACTTTGCACCTCCGATCGATTATGTGTTTTAGTAATCATATTATCCATCACTGTACTACTCACAAGAGGAGCTTTCTCATAAAAATGTGTTCAAAATAATTTGTTTAGATTTTGTAGTTAACTAGTTTGTTTTGGCCCTGATATACTTGTTATATTTTTTTCAGACAAAATTTGATTTTTAGAGTGGTTTGTTCTAAAGGGACATATATTCGGTCACTCTGTGCAGATTTTGGGAAGGCTCTTGGCAGGTATTAGTTTCTGCGAGAAACATTACATAACTTGTAGAAATTGAGTCTCACACTGAAATTCTGTTCTTCATTTCTTTGTTGTTTGATTTAACCTCTATAATTAGTCTTATAATCTGCTATCCCACTAATGTTCAGTTTTATACATAAGCAATTAATGTTTTGTTGCTAATACATTGTTGATGATTTATTTGCTTTGATATTTGTAGTTGTGCTCATTTAACGGCTCTCCGAAGAGATTCAATTGGTAAGCGGTCTTACTCATTGACTTTCAATTCAATTCAATTCAAAAGTGATTGTCTCTATGATTCATGTGTAGTTTAGCTAGCTATAGTAACTGTAAATGAAATCTTCTTCAGGACAATATTTAGCAGATGATGCATGGGAGTTTCAAGAGCTGGAAGAGTCTATCACCAAAACTTATCTTTAACTTCTCAGTTTCTCCATCATGTAACATGCAATTTTCGTTCTTTGGCAAACATGTTTATGTACCAACTCTTAGGCATATTATGGCCCTGTTTATGTACCAACTCTTAGGCATATTATGGCCCTTTCGGAAATTTTTTAACTTTCAGAGTTCATTTTTGAGTTGGCAAGGGTCTGTAAAATTCATTCATTAATTATTTATATGCTTTCAATGGAATATTGGAGGAAGGAAACTTGATGAAGGGAAATAATATTCTCAATGTGTAACTCAATCAATGTATTTTACTAGAAATATGATGTGTTTTCTCTTTCTTCCAACCGGCATTTGACAGTTTTTCAGGTTGTGTTTTTGGTGCACTGTTTTTGAGTATGGCAAACGCGGATCTATGCTTATAGTTGTTTTGCTCACCTAAGAAAGAACTAGGCTGTTTAATACATAACTTAGAAATCATTTTGCAGTAATCCACGGGCAACAAACTGTCATGCTAATCTATTTTGGATGGTATAAAATCATATTAATTGTCAAAACATATGAATTCATGTTTCATCACTTTACTTCAAATGGTTATAGAGAGAAGAGTTGTTTGAACCCCTAATAAAGTCTCCAATTTTTTCATGTTTAACCGATTTATTTCAAACAGTTAGAGGGTTGTTTGATCCCATAATAAAATCTGCGGTCCTCAATTCTACTAGTAGAAAAACTTAAGTCAAATTCGTACACATATTTTCTTTCCTCACTTGTACATCTGAATATCTCCTAGCCTAATTGTTGATATTTCTTGGTATTTATCGAAGCTCACAAGTTACACGTAACGGTTAAATATATGAACAATTAACAGTCCTAACAAAGTTAACATAAATTGATTTGAAGTAAAAAACCATACAACAACTTGATAAAAAAAAAGCCAAAACATACACCAACTTTCCATTTTGTTTGCTTTGAAATATGTTGAATTTTTTATATGTAAAATGAAATCTTAGTTTCCAGTTTACCACTATAAGTATAAAAATTTCAATAAAATAAGTCGTTAGATATTTATGTGAAAACATAAAAATACCCGAATAATTTATATATCACACAAAAATACACATCGTGAAATTGATTAAAATTTAGTTATTTTACAAATGTCTAAATTTATATAACTATATAATTGTAGTCATATATTTACTACATATTTTAAACAAAAATTACTAATATTCGAATACATCACAGATTTTATCACACAAATAATTTAAATCAAAATCAAATTTAGATAGAAAGTACAATTATAGACATAGAGCAATAAAAAAGTTTATGGACGAATATGAAAGAATAAGATTTGGATCTATGTTTAATCTCTAAATTTTAATGATAATAAATATATATTTTATGAAGAACAATTTTAGTTTTAATGGTTTCATTGAGTGTGCAGATACACATTGTTAGTATTCTGGATAGTCTTAATCAAGATATCTTCAAAATCACATTACTACTTAGAAGAAGAACCATTGAGTTCTGTTTCTAATGAAACATCAGTAGTTCTATGGAATGTTGAATGTTTGACAAGAAAAGAATATCAATGAATTTTCAAGAAAAAAGAATTTTTGATAAGCTATTCAAGATCAGAAATCAAGAGGAGACAAGAAACAGGCTTCCAACGCAGAAGTCAAGACTAGTTCATTAGAAGAGCTGCTGCTTATGGTTCTAAAGACGAAGTCAAGATTCTGAACACATATAGAGAAAGCTTATACTTCAAGATCAAAAGTCAAGATTTGCTCATCATAAGAGTTGTTCCTCATGTATCTGAACACAAATTCAAGATTACGAAGACTCGGAGAAATTCATGGAATATGCATCTTCATTCAACAATAGAAGTATTCCATCAGAAGTATTCCATAAGAAGAAAGAATTAAAGAAAATAAGATCTTCTGGACTCATCTCTAATCAACATCTCAAAGTCCATCAGAAGACAAGATCAAATGATGATATCTTCTCAAGCTAATCTACTCAACAGAGTAATATCCACAAGAAGGCAAATATAATCAGAAAGAACCAATGTACTCAACAGAAGAACCATTGTGACCATTTCTATATAAACATCAACAGTTCTACGGGATGATAAATGTTCATGAGAAAGGGAATCAAGTATGCTCATATAAAGGAGCCATTCTCAATAAGAAGTTACAAAGAAGGAAATCATGATCAAATAACAATATGTAGCTGACGTTAAGCTATTGCTTTCACCTCAATCCAAAGATCAGAATTCAAGGGATCAAAAAGAAGGAATTCAACGTCAAATCAGATGTACTGATATAAGTTGTTGCTTCAAAAATCAGACATCAGATATGAAACTTAGAAAAGTTGATAATCAAGAATCAAAAATCAACTCAAAAAGTAGATCAGAAGAGCTTTCACTTAAAAAAGAAATTGTTCATCAGATAAGTTGTTGCCTATATATATATATATATATATATATATATATATATATATATATATATATATATATATATATATATATATATATATATATATATATATATATATATATATATGAAGACAATGTTCAAATATCTGAAAGACTATGACTCTACAACAAAGAAGAATCTTCTGGATATTATCACTCCTCAACCAGAAATAATTCAGCAAGAAGAAAAGAATCAAAGCTCAAGAAATCAAAAGACTTGAGAATCAGATATGCTGTTATCATAGTATCTGATTTCAAGATCTTAATCAGAAAAGCTTTTGATATCTTCATCAGAAAAGCTTTCACGTGCAATGTCAAAGACTTGTTACTTCAGACAGGTTATTGTCGATCATTCTCAAAACAAGAATCCACTATTGAAATAATCTGAAATGAAACATCTTCTCAACACAATCTTCATCTCTCAGATCAGAAAAAAAAAAGCCTTCAAGAGTAGTTCTAGATCAGAAGAAAAGCTTTGTGTTTCAGATAGTCTACTGCCCATAATTTTGCAGACAAGATTTGGTTCTGACCATTCTGGTTTTCCAGCACAACAACAAAGTAGTTTCTGAACTACTCATCAGTTAGTCATCAGAAGAACGAAGACAAGTGATTGATCTCTTCTAAGCTTAATACTTCAGATTCAAAAGTACATCATCAGAAGATAAAGATCAAGAAACTTAGTCAAGAAGAAAATAGTACATGAACTGTACTATTCAAAGAATTTGTTCTTCCATTGTCGTACGTCAAATCACTGCAAGTAAAAGGTGTAGGAAAGTGACGTTTCACACTGTTCTAGAACTCTCTTGAATACATCCGTTGAGAATCAACCGTTGGAAGGAGAAAAGACTTCAATATCCTTACAATGACTCTTTTCATATGAAGGCTATATAAGAAGACTAAAGCTTCAAATTCAAATTGACAAAGATATTGGCAAAGAATACCATATCAAAGTCCAAACAACGTTGCTATTCTTAATAGAAAATATCCACAACATTGAAGAGATAAAATAAAAAGCAAAGAGTTGTTGCTCTTATATTGCTTACTATAGAAAGAAGACCAAGAAGAAGAATTCTATAAGATGATACTCAAACTTCCATCATATACATCTTGGCAGAATTATGAAGAAGCAATGAGTTGTTGCTCATAGCTTGCTCAACAAAGAAGATGAAGATAAGAAGACTACAAGATGCTGCATTCAATTTAGATTATATGCATCTTAGTATAAACAATGTAAAACACAAGAGCTGTTACTCAAATTGTGTTATTTCTTAAGAATCTTCATGTAAATTATTTGTACACAAGAGTTGTTTCTCAGAATTGTGTAAAACAATATGTACTTAAATTAGGAGTAATCTGCTTGATAAGAAGCACTCATGTAATCTCCAGAAAAACAATTATGTTTTGAATTGGTGATTTCTCAAGTGATCGAGTAAAGATCAGAAGACTCGATAAGACGAGTTGTTGCGATCATCATGGACGAAATCCTATGCTAAGGGACCAGTTTGGCCAGAAACCTTATGGGGTTAATGATCGCTATATCTCTAAGGGGACCAGGAAGGTCAGAATTCTTAAGAGATCACTGGATGAGGATCATTGTAAGAAATCCCTCAAAGAAAGATCAGGTTGATCAGATTTCTGATAGGGTCCTTGATCATTATATCTCATTGAGATCACTGAACATATCATTGTATTGTTCCTTGAGAGACTCGATTGAGTCAGGATTCTCAAGAAGGCTTAGATTGCGACCTTAGCATAAATGCAATAAGGATTAACTGAACTTGTTGAGGGTATCAACAAGGTTGATCGAAATTATTGTGGCTTGTAATCATGATTTGGTTATAGTGGATTAAATCTTTGTTGAAGGAAAAATCACCTGAGGAGGGTGGACACGAGTAGCCTAGTTAACGGTGAACCTGGATAACTGAATGTGTTTCTTTATATTTTATTGCATTCTATATTTTTTCATAGTTCAATCAAATAATTTTTTAAGGGGAATATTTTCTTAAAACCCAATTCAAATCCCCCTATTTTTTATATTTTTCTCTACCTTCAATTGGTATCAGAGTCCGACTCTGTTATTGATTTTAAATCAAACACTTAACCATGTAGAGATATCCAGCAAGAGAAAAACTATGAATGCTATAGATTGAAATGAAAGAAAGAAGGATCCTTTAAAACTTCCAGGTTTATCAGAACAAGCATCATGATTCTGCAGGAAAACCAGATTTATCAAAGAATAAGTAGCATCATAAGGATTTCTCTCAACAATCAGCTAAGCAAATCATGAGAAGCAGATGAGTGCAGAAGATATAATGTTTGGCCATGGAGACAAAATGCTAGATGGATCAACTCTAGAAAAAGAAGATGCCAACTATTAGAAGCATGATTTACAATGAGGAAGAAATCATCACAAGTCACCAGGTTTATATTTTAAATGTTTTCTAACTATTTCGATAAAACTCCTTTACCAGTTAGAAGATGTCTTGTCAAGAGTAAGTCAAATCTTTTAGTCATGATGTATTAATTAATTCTCTTCAAATCCTTTAGCACATCTCCTTTC